GGCCAGCCTGCCAAAGCAGAGGGACGGAAAGGAAGCTGCTTTGAGCCCAAAACTCTACAGCAAAAGGAAACAGCCCTGGACTTGCCAGATCACCAGAGCTCAAGCTGAGAAGACACAGAGGCCACGGGCTTGGTAAGGCTAAATTTTGACGGTGGTGCAGCCTGTCTTCTTTCCAGGATGGAGCCCCTGGGACCTGACCTAAGGGTAGGCATCAAGGAAATGATGAGGAGCCACTGCCCCATCCAACAGGGACTTCACATTATGCAATGTGGCCTTAGGAAGGCTCTAACGTGTGAGAACTCCACACACATGACACAAGCAGACTTCCAAAACACTCAGAGGCATTTAGGGATTTTTTTTTCAGGTTTGCTGATGGTATTTTTTTTAAAGATTTATTTATTATCTATACAGTTTTCAGCCTGCATGTATGCCTGCATACTAGAAGAGGGCACCAGATCTCATTACAGACGGTTGTGAGCCACCATGTGGTTGCTGGGAATTGAACTCAGAACCTCTGGAAAAGCAGCCAGTGCTCTTAACCTCTGAGCCATCTCTCCAGCTTGCTGATGGTATTTTTATTATTATTATTATTATTTGCTTATTCGTGTGTGTGTGTGTGTGTGTCTGCGTGTGTGTGTGTGTGTGTGTGTGTCTGCGTGCACTCGAGAGTGTGCATGTATGCATGTATGTCCAGGTAGAAGCCAGATGACAACCTGAGGTGTCATTCCTCAAGTACTATCATTCATTCATTCACTAATTTACTTCTTTCTTTTTTTCCTTTTTTGGTTTTTCCTAGACAGGGTTTTTCCATGCAACAGTCCTGGCTGTCCTAGAATTCACTTTATAGACCAGGCTGGCCTCCAACTCACAGAGATCCACTTGCCTCTGCCTCCTGAGTGCTGAGATTAAAGGCATGCACCACCAACGCCCGGCTCAATACAGGGTTTTTCATTGGCCTAGAGCTCTCTGATTAACCTAGGCTGGCTAGCCAGCAAGCTCCTGGGATTACAAACACCACCACACCTGGCTAATTTACTAGGCTTTTTTTGTTTTTTCCTTTTTTGTCAAAACAAAGTTTCTTTGTATACCCCTTGCTGTCCTGGAACTCACTCTGTAGACCAGGCTAGCCTCAAATTCACAGAGGTCTGCCTGCCTCTGCCTCAAAAGTGCTAGATTTAAAGGCATGCTCCACCACCACCTGGCTGATTAGCTAGTTTTCTTCTTTTTTGTTTCTTGAGTCAGGGTTTCTCTGGGTATTCCTGGCTGTTCAGGGACTTATTATGTAGACCTGGCCTAGAATTCAGAGGTACACCTGCCTGCCTCTGCCTCCCAAGTGTCTAGATTAAAGGCGTTTGCCACAATGCCTAGGTAATTTTTTTAGCATGGGTTCTGGGGCTCAAACGCAGGTCCTCGTGTTTACAAAGCAAGCACTTCACTCACTAAGCCATTGCTCCCGCCCTGTTTTTTATCTTGCCCCCCTTTCTTTTTTTCTTTTTGCGAATGGTGGTGGACAGTACCCAAGTGCCACTGTGCATGTATGGAGGTCAGCTTGTGGAAGAGAGTTCTCTCTTTCAACCATGCGGGTCCTAGGAATCAAACTGAGGTTGTCAGGCTTGGCGGTAAGAGTCTTTACCCACTGAGCCACTCTGCCAGTCCATTACTTTTTTAAGTTCCACTTTCAAGTCACACATGGTTGCAGCGTACTCTTGTAATCCCAACATTTGGGAGGCTGAAGCAGTTAGAATGAGAATTCCAGGCCTGCCTGGGCTACGTGAAGTATAATCTCGTCTCAACCAAATCAAACAGCAAAAATCCACTTTCAAGGGAACCTAAAGATTCGAAGCAGGAAGATCACCAATTTCAGACTAATTTTGATTGCATTGCAAGATCCTGTCTCAAAATAATCACAACATAGTACACGCCTTTAATGGCAAGACTCGGGAGGCAAGGCAAGCAGATCTTTGTGAGTTCCAGGCCAGCTGAGCTTGTATAATGAGACTCTCAAAAACCAAACAAAATAACCACAACAAAAAAAGACCAGACCAACTCTGATGATTTTCGAAGCTAAGCCTGCTATATTTTTCTACTTTTTTCACTTACTTTTTTTTTTTTATTTTTTTTTTAGTTTTTCGAGACAGGGTTTCTCTGTGTAACACCTCTAGCTGTTCTGGAACTCACTTTGCAGACCAGGCTGGCCTTGAACTCACAGAGATTCGCCTGCCTCTGCCTCCCAAGTGCTGGGATTAAAGGTGTGCACCACCACCCAGATATTTTTTTCTACTTTTAATTTTAATTTTGGTTTTGGGGGTTTGTTTGTCTTTTGTTTGCTTGCTTCTTGAAATAGGTTTCTCAGTGTAACAGTTCTGGCTATCCTGAAACTCACTTTGTAGACCAGGCTGGCCTCGAACTCAGAGATGCCCCTGCCTCTACCTCCTGAGTTCAGGGATTAGAGCCATGCTCCACCTTCTGCTTTCGGATAGTGGGATTTGTCACGATAAACAGTTGGTTAAGGATGTGTCTCAGCCGTGGGGTGTCTGTGTCTGCACAGCACACACAAGGCTTGAAAAGAGAAGTAAATTAATTTTGGCTCTTTGAGACAGCGTGTCAACCAGGCATGGTGGCACATACCTATAATCCTAGCACTGGGGAGGCAGGGGGTAAAAAGATCTGGAGTTCAAAGGAAGCCTTTGCTACATAGTAGAGAGAAAAACAAACTATGAAACACAGGCTAGTTTCCAATTATGGGTATCACCCATGTATGCATTACCACGGCTGTCCTAGAAAATATGCCTAGCATACACTAGGCCCTGGGTTCCAATCACAGCACCAAAACAAAAAGGAGGGAAAGGGAAAGGAGACCCAAAGGGGGGTACGGAAAGTGGTCAAGTGAAAATTCTGCTGTAGGAACACTCAGGAGAGGAGCCTCGGGAGTCCAGACAGTGACACAGCTGGAGTGTGTCCTCCAATACCTCCCCACTAACCCTCAGACAGACAGGCCCCCGCCCAGCATAGCAACCACTGACCGTCTGGCTGACCGCCCCATCCCATCAGACTGGAGGAGCTGAGGCCTGCCCGTGCAATGAGAAGACCTGGCCAGGCCCCAAGATGAGAGACACACTTGTGACACACGACAGAGCTCAGAGTCAGAGGCCCCAGCTAGTCTGCCTTTGTGACAGAAGCCGCTGGTTATCCCTGGGACTTGATGTTCTTGAACTTGAAGTGGGGTGGATGCCTGGCCTGCCTAACTCACAGTGAAACACTGGAAGTGAAAGCGTTCTGGGCGAGCATGAAAGGCCTTCAGACAGTGTAGGTGGCTGTTTTTCCTGGTGGCTGTGCAGACTGGAGAGTGAGGAACAGACAGGTGCCATCCGAGCCCTGGTCCCAGCTCTGCCAGCTGTGGAGCCTCAGAAGAGTCCCTTGCTGTCTCTGGGCCTGTTTCCCTGTCTGTGCAGGGAGAGACAGGAGCGTCTGGATCCTTCCCATTCAGACACGCTAGGACCAGAAACCTGGCCAGTGTGTGGAGATGCCCAGAGAGGGGATGGGGAGCAGAGAATTATCAGAAAACTTTGGATGAAGGATGCCATAAACAAACACACGGTTTATTCTCAGTTCATCCCAGTGAGGAAGAACAATGTGGCAGCTTGAAACCAGTTGCAGTTGGCAGCTGGGCCCCTCACCCACTGCAGACATCGTCTAGTAACGCCAGCAAGGGTTTCTGTGTCCCCTCCCAGAAATCCCATCCTTGCCGTCTCTCAGTTACCTCCTGAGTCTCCATCCCGACACCCCACCTCCTAAGTCACAAATGGCCAAGTCCAAGGACACAGAGCCCTGGCTGGTCCTCCCTGAGGAGGGCAGCTCCTCTTCCCAAAAGTCACAGGAGGCTCCACTCAGGGTGCTGCGTACCAAATGACCCCTCACACACTGCAAGTTTCTCTTTCTTCAGCAAAGAGACTCCGTCCGGAAGCAGCAGACTGAGCTGCAAACCCTACCACTAAAGCAACCAGCCCAGGAGAACCCTCCATCTTTCCCCCAGGCTGAAATGGTGAATAGCTGGGTAAGGAAGCAGGCCCATTTTTAGTCACCAGCCTCAAAGGGTACATTCGGGACTGGACACCAGCTGGGACTGAGTTCAGGCTCTGGGCATTTGTACCTTTGTAAGCTTTACTGTCCCCACCTCTACACAACTCTGTCTCTCTGTCCGTGTGTGTCTCTCTGTCCGTGTGTGTCTCTCTGTCCGTGTGTGTGTCTCTGTCTCTGTCTGTCTCTCTTTCTGTGTCTCTGTCTCTGTCTCTGTCTGTCTCTCTGTCTCTCTGTCTGTCTCTCTGTCTGTCTGTCTGTCTGTCTGTCTGTCTGTCTCTCTCTCTCTCTCTCTCTCTCTCTCTCTCTCTCTCTCTCTCTCTCTCTCTCTCTCTCTCTCTCAGACATATGATATCAAAGTAAGTCCGGAAAAGAAACTTGGCGACCGCTTCTCCATGTCACCAAATCCCCTTCTGTCCCGCCACCATCCATACACCAAAGCTACCCTGAGCCCAGCAGCAGCAAAGGAGGGAGGGGGACACAGAAATCCCAAAAGATTTTGCTCCCAACACTTCAGTTTCCCATACACAGGAACTGAGAGGCGGCCAGCTTCTGTCAGGCCCTGCAAACACTCCCCCGCTGTTCACTGTGACCCCAGACTGAGGCAAGGAGCAACTGGGGACCTCTGGCCAACTGCTTCAAAGTAACTTCGAATTGCGCCCACACCATCATCTCTGTCCTTTTTTGATCTCTGACTGTTGGTGTGATACCCTCGGCACCCGCGGTGTCCTCACTGCTACCCTACCCTACTTCCCGGTCTCCTAAGAATGAAGCTCAGACTGCAAACAAGAAGCATCGTGCAGCTTCAGAATTTGGAGGGAAAAAAAAAAAGAGGACCGTCCTTGTTCCGGCGGGCCTCCGAGGCCAGACCCCCGCCGGCTCCGCCCTGCGAGCTCGCGGCGCTCGGCGCGCACCACACTCACCGTCCTTGCTTAGTGATGATCATCTCCGTCTGGTGCTGATTGAACTTGGACCACAACAGGTGGTTGCTGAGCGCGACTCTCAACTTCCCTGACACCTCCAACCCCGCGGGCATTGCGTAGTCCTCGCGCGGTCCAGGGTAGAGCCCGGCGCGCGGGTCTGGGGCTGCGTAGCTATCCCCGGGCGGGTAGCCCTCGGCACCCGCGGGCGGCGGGAAAGACTCGCCTGGCCCGGGGAAGCCGGCCGCCTGGGCCCGGGGCGGGTAGGCGTAGGCGCCGAGGAAGCGGCCCGGCGCGGCAGGCACCAGGGCGCCCCCAGAGTAGGGCGTCCCCAAGCTGCCACCTGCACGGCGATCTGTCGGGTCCTGTGCGCCCGGCTCTGGATAAAAGAAGCGATGCTGCTGGTCCGCTCCGGGCCCCCGGCCCTCGTCAGTCGGCATCGCCTCGGTGCCGGTCAGCATGTCTCCGCAGCCCGGCTCCACGATGCCCATCCGCGGCGGGCTGGGCGCCTTCCCGCAGCCGTCGAGGAGGCCAGAGGGTCGTGGGGGCAAGGGAGACGGGGCGGGGTCCGGGGAGGAGTAGAACGCCACCTGAGCAGGGGCTGGGACTTCTGGCCCCTGAGCGCGCGTTGGGGAGGCGCGCAGCTGCTCCGGGGCTCCCGCTCCAGCGGGCCGCTGTCACTAGCGGCGCGGCGGCCTTTGCTGTGGCTTTATGAAGCTCCTTGGGTCCCCTCACCCCGCCACCTCGGCCCCGCCCCGCCTCGCCCCGCCCCCTCGTGGCTAATACAGCGCGAATTTGCTTTTGGTGAGGACTGACGCCCCCCCCCCACTCGGTGGGGACCAGTAAGTCTCTGTGCGCCCCGGATCTGAGAGAGTCAGCCTGCCACCTGAAACTCGAGCGGGTTTCTCTCCCCCAGGAAATTCCGCCCATCCAGGAAGGCACACCAAAGGCCCTTTCCCCAGATGGGACCTTTGAGCATTCTCAAGGCTCAGGCATGCTCGAATCTTCTTAGACTATACATATTCAACAGATATTTGTTGCTGCCTCCTGCATGCCCAGGTTCTGCCACTTTGCACGAAATGTTTGCCTGCTTTCTCTTGGCTAGAGCCCCCCCTCATCATCACCACCTCCCCTACCCCACCTCACCCCACCCCGCGAGGGGGGATAATGTTTGTCCCTTTAGCCCAGGAGCTGACTTGGAAGTTCTTGAACAACAGGCCCCCAAAAGCATTGAACCCAAAACAGCCCACTGTGGGCTGGGCTGACTGAAATGCTCCCACAGAAGCTGATTCACGTGGCAAAGCAGCCAGTTAAAGACACGGGAAGTAGCGCTTGGCTGTCAGTGTTCAGAGTCCCAGGGCTGCCTCTGCCTGTGATTCGGGTGTGTGGGACCTGGGTAAGTCACTTCCTTTGCTTGAAAGTCAGTCCCTCAGGCCTGATGGGGTAGGCTGGGGGAAATAAACATTCGTATTGAAGGTGGGGGGCTGTGAACCTTACACCAGCGGCTGTCTGTGTGCTGGTTTTCCATTCTATTATAGAGGAAACAAAGTGCCTAGCAGGCACTCAGAGCTGGTTGACAGCCTAGCGCATGCTCTGATGGAGGAATGTCCTTCCTCCTCTGTTCTATTCTGCTAAGGTAAGTCACACGTTTTGAGAAGTATTCCTCTTCTCCCAGTTGAAAATGAACCCATTGGGAGTTTTCTTACTCCTTGGGGGTCTGAGGATGCAGTTCAGTTGATGGAGTGCCTGCCTAGCATACACCAAGCTCTGGTTCCATCCCCAGCATTATACAGATGGAGCTTGGTGGCAAACCCCTGTAATCCCAGCACAGGAGGGGAAGCAGAGGATCAAAAGTTTAAGGTCATCTACATTTACAATTTGAGCCAGCCTGGGTTACATGGGATCCTATCTCAAAATAAGTAAATAAAAATTAAAGTATCATTTAAGAGTTATATATTTACTGTGTGTATGTGTACCATGGAGTGTGTTTGGAGTTCAGAGGACAATGGTGTGGAGTCGGTGTTCTCCTCCTGTCTTTATGTGGGTCCTGGGTCTCGAACTCAGGTCATCAGGCTTGAACAGCAAGTACCTTTACCGGCTGAACCATCTTGCTGGCCCCGATACTAAAAAACATCTTAGTATAGAAAGTCTAGACAGTGTAGAAAAGCAATGTTATACAAATTACCCCCCAGTTCTCGCTTCCCAAAGCAAACAGTATTAACATTTTTTGAAGAACACCCTTCCAGACATCTCTCCTGTATAGATCCTCCCTGTGTCTCTGTCTTTCGCGCGCGCGCGCGCACACACACACACACACATCTAATTTTATATAAGCAGTGCAGTCTGTTTTGCCATGAGGGTTCTTTTTTTTCAATCAGCAAGGTGTAATGGATTTTTCGCATGTCTAATATATAAAGGTTTACATTTTAAATAATGTTCTAAAAAACTACTTCCACCAGTTTTATTCATTAAGAGGGTGACTTCTCTCCTTCGCCTCTGCCCCACCCCACTTCTCTGGGGGGGGTGCGTGTGACCTCATCACTACATTTCTGTCCCAGCCCAGTAGGGCTTCACCCATAGGGGCCCAGAGGGACACTCTCCTCCCAACTAGAGCTGAACCAAGAGGCAGGCTGCCAGGCGAAGGTGAGGCTAGGGACCCCAGGAGACGGACATAGCCTAGGGAGGGTGGGGGAGAGACATCTCTTGAGATGGGACCTGGATACATAATAGCAACAGAAATTGAGGTCTGGTTTCTTCCTCGCCCCCTTTCCCCTGCTCCCCCATGCCTTAGAAGGTAGAAGCTTGAAAGAGAGTGACCCTGGGCCGCTTGGCTACCTGTTGTGAAAAATCGATTTCTAAGATTCATCAGATTGGCTTATTTCCTCAGAAGGCGAAGATTTTGAACTCCGAGAATTCCTTGGGGGCAACATTTTCGCTAAGTGTCCCAGTGTGAAAGGCCAGATGGAGTCTTGCTCCTCAGTCCTTCCCTCCCTCCTTGCACGCTAATGCTCAGGTCAAGTGGTCTATCCCCCTGCTTTGGAACCGAATGTTCTAAGCTCCCAAAAAGCTGTGCAGAGCAAAAGGGACTACGACCGTCATAGCTGGGTCATTCTGGGAACACATTTCTGGAATAAGGGGTGCCTAGTGTCATCTCCCCGAAATCCAGTGGGTCGATAGAGCCTGCCTTATTAACCTTAGATTCCTCACTACCCTCATCCCCCACTCCCTCTAATTTCTTCCACCCAAAAAAGAAAGTGCTTGTGAAAAGCGGGGGCTGAGTGGCCCTGGTGTCACCACTGCCAGTCCCGCCCCTATGCCAGCTTGGGTGAGAAGAAGAGCCCTGGCAGTGACACCTCCTCTTCCTGCTGCCACCTCACCCCCCCTTCCCAGTCCTCAGGGCTGGAGAGGTGGGAAGAGAGGATGGAAGAGAGGAGGCCCCCTGGGATCCCCTCTCTTCCCTGTGACTGCTGCTCCCAATCCCTCTCTCATCCTGCCAGCACACCCTGTCCACGGGCTGGCCCTGCTGGGGAAGGAGTGAAGGAACACAGGATTGATACCCATGATGGGTCAAGTCAGCAACCAATTGCAGAAGTCAGTCTGGGTGGGTGACACGGGGGACAGCATGCTTCAAAAGTCACATACCCTGGTTGCCACTGAGCTAGGGCTGAGGGTCTGGTGTAGACTACCAGTCCAGTGTTCTTTCTAGAAATCAAATGAATGAAAACCAGCCAAGGGCTGGGGGTGTGGCTTGGTAGTAAAGCATGGAACTGACAGGTGCAAGACCCTGGGCTCCATCCCTGGCACCACAAAAAAGAAAACAGTCTGATAGTTCCCTAGAAAAGATCTGAAAATCCGGGAGCAGGGAGAGATTGCTGCTAAGCCCTCCAACTTGACACTGGCTCTCCTCACCCTGTGGTGTTCTACAAGTGTTCAAGACCTCTTTCCATTCTTTCCAGGGGCTCCTGGAAGGCCACACCGCCTTCCCAGCAAGCTTTCACGTGGATTTCTGGTACTTGCTCCTAGACATGCTGATTCTGGGGCCTGTCAGACTTTTCAGTGTCTTGGGTTGAGATGACAGTGGCCTTCTCACGCTCCACTTCCAGGCCCCTTCCTCTTCCTCTCTTCTGTCTCCAAGTTAGGTATGCTAGAAATTTGCAACGCCAGGGAAGAGGCATGGAGGGTTGGGAGACATTAGTGTTCTGGTCAACACCCTAGACCCAGATGGTTCCTCTCCTCAGATGCGCCAGTGGGCCTGGTCCTCTCCTGAACATGTGCAGGGCCAAACCCTCCATCCCAGGGGTTCAGGGAAGGGCAGAAACAGATGGGGGCTGAAGGGGGAGGGGGAGTAGGGCCAGTGGCTCAGAGCTCAGGGCACCAGGAGTCGAGTCTGCCTTTGGAAGCACAGAGGCTGGAACGGTGAAAGAAAGGAGTGCCCAGCTCAGGGCACTCATGAGAGATTCAGAGTCAAGAAACCATGAAGCCAGATACTTAACTATGACTCAGTGAGAAAGTCTCAGGCCCCAGGGGGGGAAGCAAGGATGACATGCCCCTGAGAGCAAAGACTTCAGAGGCTGAAAGGCTTTGGGTTCCCAAAGGCCCAACAGAGGGAAACGGTATCTTCCACAGGTAGCTTGGTGGGAAGCCCCCAACTCCAGCCCTCACTGAGTGGCCTGTTGCAATGTCTTGACAGCTCTGGTTTCCCCGTCAGAAAAAAAAAAGACTCACTTGGACTATAAAGACAGAGAGCCTTGGCTTAACGCAGGAGCAGAATGGAGACCCAGGCTGTGCTGAACTGTCTTTTGATTCTAGCCACCTGCTTCTTCCCTCTCCTCCTTCTAGTCTAGGTGGCTGCTCCACAAAGGGCCCCTCGCAGTCATATCCGTCTCTGCTGGGGCCTTAGGCCAGGAGAGAACTCCTGTTCAGAAGACTGGTCTCAGTAAGGAGGGGTAGGCTTGCCCCCCCCAGCCCTGTTCCCCAAGGGCTGTGATAAACTAGGCCCTGGGAACTCTGAGGACTCAAACAGGATCCAGGATCAGTCCCTAAAGAGCTCCTAGCTCGGTGGATGACCATGGTCTCCAGACTTCCAGCACCTCAGCCCACTTCAGCTCCCAGAGGCAGACTGGCAATCCATCGGCTTGCACACGCACTGGTTACTCCCATGTGCACAGACTCAGTCTTCCTCAAGGTAACCCTGCAAGCCAGGCCCTGTACCCCACCTCCAGCTCTGCTCCCGCATCTACCCAGCCAACCAGGGTTCTCTGGTTATCTCGCTCTGTCATCCACCCTCCCTGGAGCCCTCCCCGCTCTGGGTCCAGACTGCCAGTCCTTCAGAGAGCATAGCTATGGCCGGAACCATCGGCTTAACAGGGAGGGGGCAGGGCAATGACAAGCACCTGGAGAGCACACCCTACCCCCAACAGTGACAGCTGCTGCAGGAGGTCCAAATCCCCAGCACCAAGTACCCAGGACTCACTCCAAGGTCAAGGGCTCCCCTTCCTGGGTTGGGGGGTCACTCTTTGCCACTCTGAACACCAATCAAGACGGGTAGACACCACTCCAGCACTGCACTGCTGTGATCTCTCCCCTAACTCCCCCATTCCTCTCTACTGGCACCCCATCCATCCCCAGGGATGAGGGTTCCCTTAAAGTTACCACTGGAGCAATTCTGTAATCACAGGGATTGTC